GAATTCTCCGTTAAGCTCTCCAGGCCAGCTTCTAATATCATTCATATCAGGTTCGTTGGTGAGGATCAGAGCTGAAAGTTTATTGCTAGTTTGGTCTGGGAGTAGATGTATCAGTTGGTCCCAACGCCAGCCGTGTTCGTGGTTCCAATAACTACTGACTGGTCTATCCTGTTCAGATGGGGGGACTTCACCAGCGATTAGTTCCAGTAGTGGTCTGTCTTCGATCCAAATATCTTTCCAAAATAGTGTGTTAATTCCGTTTCTAACATGCCATCTGGACCCATTTTGGATGATAGGGATGGCTTTGTAAATGCCTCTCCATGCGTTCGAACAGTTACTTTTTAGTCTCCAAGAAGAGAGGTCACGAGGATCAGCTCCATACTTGGCTCTACATATTTCAGACCATAAGCTTCTTGGATCCTTCAACAGGTTCCAGCCTAGCTTTGCTAGGAACGCTTGATTCATCTCCTTCAGTCTGCGGATACCAAGTCCTCCATTAGACTTGTTCTTGGTAATAGTTTCCCAGTTAACCAGATGACAACGTTTAGATCCCTGATTGCCTCCCCAGATGAAACCTCTGATTATCTTTTCGATTGATGTGATAACTCCGGCCGGTAGTTGGGTTGTTTGCATGGTAAAGTATGGTATTGCCGACAGAACTGATTTGGCCAAAATCTGTCTTCCGGCCAGTGAGAGGGAGTTGGATTTCCATCCCGCTAGACGCGACTGAATCCTTCCAATGATGCCCGAATATGAGTCACTGCTGAGCCTACCATGAATAGAAGGGGTACCTAGGTATTTTCCCAGATTTGTTACACTTTGAATTCCCATAGAGCTGGTTATGCTCTGTTGAAGTTGAGGGGGCACGTTCTTCGAGAAGAACAAGGAAGATTTCTGTGAGTTGACTGCTTGTCCTGATGCTGCACAGAAAAGGTCTAAACATCTCTTCATCTCTATCGCCTGCTGGATCGATGCTTCTCCAAAAAGTATTAGATCATCTGCAAAAAAGAGGTGGGACAAATTAGGTGCATTTCGGGCTAGCTTAATACCTTTCCAATCTCCATTACTAATAGAACGATGTATTATATGACTCAGTCTTTCGATACAAAGCACAAATAGTAAAGGGGAGATCGGATCTCCTTGTCTAATCCCTCTTCCCGGCTTAAACCAATCCGTCTGCTGTCCATTCCAAAGGATTGCCAATCTGGAAGTTGTAACACATTCTAGGATATTTCTGCTCCATGCTTGGTTGAATCCTATATCTAAGAGAGTGTCTTTGATAAACTCCCATGATAAGCGGTCATACGCTTTCTCCAGGTCTACTTTCAACATCATCCATCCTGTTCTTCCTTTTTTGGTTCTCATTGAATTTAGGATTTCTTGGTATAAAAGTATGTTTTCTGAAATCTGCCTTCCGGGGATAAAGCTAGACTGATGTAGACCTACTAGTTTTCCGGAGATATCTTTGAGTCGGATGGTCATGATCTTAGTTATCAGCTTGTATGTGACATTGCACAAACCGATTGGTCGAAACTGCTTCACATTCTCTGGTGAGGAAATCTTGGGTATTAAAGAGATGAGTGTATCATTGTAGCCAGATGGGAGGTGTCCGTCAGTAAAGAACTTCTTAACAGTGTCCACGATGGTAGCTCCCACCGTATTCCAGGTTTTTTGGTAGAAACTAGCAGTGAAACCATCTGGTCCGGGGGCTTTGCAGGGAGCCATTTCGAAAAGAGCAAACTTTACTTCTTCGGGAGTAATGGGTTTGTTTAAATCCAGCCAGTCTGAAGGGGAGATCCTCGGGAAACTACCATGTTGGAGGTTTGATGGGGTGGAGTTACTATCTTCTTTAAACAGATTCTTGAAGTAGGATAGGACGATGTTCCTCAATTCAGTATCATCCCGGATTTCTCTGCCAGTCTCATCTTTAAGACAAAGGATTTTCTGCCTGTTACTCTTAACTAATGTTGCCGTATGATAAAAACGTGTGTTCCGGTCTCCAGATGTGATCCACTCTTCCCTTGAGCGTTGAAACCACAACAGTTCCTCTTGATAGAGGGATTCCTCTAGTTCTTTCTGCAACCTACGCTGTAACCTGAATAGATCAGAACGTGGATTATTCCCTAATCTTACTTGAATTCCTTTCAATCTTGCCAGCAGTCTGTTTTTTCTTTGAATAATGTTGCCGAAAGTACTTCTGTTCCATGATGTTAGGGCAGCTGCTACAGAGTTCTTGTTGTTTTCCAGATTTTTTGAGTTGTCCCAAGAAGCTTTGACTAACGATTGAAAGCCTTCATGGGTTGCCCAGGCTAGGTTGTATCTAAACTTTTTAGGGTGAGCTGCACTGGGCTGTTGATCTGTAGTCAGGAGTAAGGGCGAATGATCCGAATTGACTATGGGTAAGTGTTGAACTTCGGCATTCGGGAAGCGGATCTTCCAATCTGCGTTGCATAGGGCGCGGTCTAAGCGAGCTGCTTTATAGGTTGGTGTTTCTATTCCTCTCATCCAAGTGAATCTAGACCCCGTGTAGCCTAGATCTATGAGACTTTCACTATGGATCCAGTTGTTGAATTGTGAACATCTGGTGAGGGAGAAAGACTCTGGGTTACTGACTTCTTCTTTGCAAGTGACCGAATTGAAATCTCCTATTGTCAGCCATGGGCCATGAGGGTCAAAACGATCACCAGAGAGATCTTCAAACAATTTCTTCCTTAGGCTATGTTCTGGACTTCCATATACCACCGTCAACAACCAGTGATTCTGCTCAGTTTCTGTTACCTGCAGACAGATGAATTGTGGGTGAGTATAGATAATTTCAATCTTCAGATTGTTTTTCCATAGGACCCAGATACCCCCAGAAAATCCTACTGACTCTACTCTAATCCACTCATCAAATCCTAATTTAGAACAGATGGTGTTTGCTTGATGTCCAGAAACTTTGGGTTCCAAGAGACAAACAAGCGATGGGTTGTGCAAGGAAAGAAAATACTTCAGGGTACGCCTAAACGAATTGGAGGCCGCCCCTTGACAATTCCAAGTGAGACTAATCATTAAAAAAACAGCGGTAAGGGAAGAGATAGGCTTAATAGCCTTGGCGCAAGTCCGCCACAACACCCATCTGGTCAAAGCGACCGGCATCATCCTGCATAACAATGTCAGGGGGCTCGCCCAGCACGGGTTCTGCCGGATTAATGTCCGGTGGTACATGCTTCGGGTTGACTTCAGGGTCGCTAGGCACAGGGGCTTCCGTGTGTAGATCTTCATGGTAGACTGTGGTAGTTGAGATCATTCCTTCTCTGTTGCCCCTCACAACTGTGTGTTCAATCTCGGCTGCCGCACGGTTAGGAAGTCCCCCCCTTCCCCCACGGCCTCTCACCGTGTTGCGAGTAGGTGGCGGTGCTTGAGGAGGGGGTGGAGGGTGAATTGCTAGTTGATTTTCTTTTTTCTTTATTTTGTTTTTATCTACAATATACATATACAATACAATTCTAATAAGAGCCAATAATGTTAGATCCTTAACTAGAATAAAAAAAATGTCGGTACTACTCGTTTCTTAAAATGAATGATTCATAGTATTTTGATTTTAAAATTTTTAATGATTTTCCTTATTTACCCTTTATTATATTATTTTCTTTCCTTAAATAACCTTAAATTCCGTTAGTATAAACTTTATTAATGGAATATTCCGTTAACTATTTATTATTATTAACTTACTCATTAATTTCTATAAGAAAGGTCTTAGGTTCGAACCTCATTCCAATTAAAGTTAGCATAATTGTTAAACATATACTACGAATATGTTAGAATGTATTAAAAAATAAAATTTAAAATTAAACATAAACTTTGGTTAAATAATTAGCCGACAAAATACATAGCATTCAATGATTATAAATCAAGAACTTTGATAATCATTTGATTTTCTTTCATTAAAAAATAATAAATTTAAGTTCAGTTTTTTTTTTTTTTTCCATTTAATTAATCTTCTTTTGATTATTGAGAACAAAACTTAATATTTCAATTATGCTTTTACCAATGCATGAAAACTTCATACACCATAATCTCATTGCATGATGAATCCCTCTATGATACTACCAATAACCCAATTGCACAAGACACGCTACCAATAAAAAAAAAAAAAAAAAAAAAAAAAAGACATGGACTGAAGATTAAACAATAACAATGCTACTTAAAAGAGAATTGGAAAAATTTAAACCAAAAATAGTATTTATTTAGACTATCGCTTTTGGACTTAGTACTTAGATTAGCGTTATTACAAAGTTGCAAACATTTATTTTTGTGACAGTTATATATAATCAATCTCTCATATATTATCTTGCAGTTATATACTTTAAATTACCGATTTGAATAAACAAATTTAACATTTATTTACCTATGCATGAACATTTGGAATCTTCTATATAATATTGCATTGATATATTTTGAAATATTTATTTAAAAATAAGTATTGGACATTATCCTATTCGCGTAGAAAACTAGTAATTGTATAAGTGATAATATAGAAATACAAATTGAATTGAGTCGATATCCTCCTCACTCGAATGTGAATTGACCTAATACGATTTAATTCACCCATTATTACAAAAATTATCCTCTAAATAGTAAATTATACTAATGGTGGAATGGTTGCCTGCACGCTTCCGAAACCATATCATCTAAGAGCCTTTTTACATTGCTCGCTATTTGCATGGTTGGCTGCTTCCAAAACCCAGATTCCTAAAATATGGATCACGGGAAGATGGTGCCCACTGCCCAGGGTGGGAATTGACAAAAAAAAAAAAAAAAAAACTCTTTTTTTTTTTTTTTCTGGGTAATCTTTAATGTTTTCTTTCCAACAGTGATGGTGCCATGGTGTTCTATTCCTGCCTACATTTATGTGCGGGTCATAAAAGTGAGGTAAATATTTACTCCGTAAAACCTAGGAGTAGCCATTACCCAGAAAGAAATGCAGAAAAACAGTCGCTATCATCTGTTGCTGTTGGCTCCGCTGTCTACTTTCTTGCCCAATCTTCAAATATCAAAATCGCAAACTACCCGTTTCAGAAGAAACCAATATAATCACTCTTTCCTGTCCTCTTCCGATTCATCATTTACTAGCCAACACCTTCTCCCCCTCAACGTGGCCGCCTCTCTCCCAGGCCATAATGTTTTTCTCTCAGTTTTAGTTACACACGATTGCCCATGCTTGAATGTAAGGTTTATTTGTATTGATAACTATTTTTTTTTTTCTTTTTTCTATTCTTGGGTTCTTATGAGCTGGGTCCTGTGTTTGATTTGCAGCTATATGATCAAAGGATCAGCTTTTCTTGGATGATTATAAGATCAAATGGCTTTTAGTTGCTTTAGAGCTTTTGAATCCTGTAAAGATCATACAGAGGAACATGCACAAGGTGAGAAGCTTTTTAATTTTATGATTTTCTTTTCTGCCATAGCCCATATTTAATCTGTATAAAATTCTTTCTCCATCATTGGTTCATCAAAAAATTTAGTTCTGGTCGGCAATTTTTTACTCAAAATTTGAGTGCCCTGGCCAAATTCGTACTGGGCACTCTAGGCAGTGATAAAAAGAGTGGAAACTTTATATTGGAGTGCATAATTTCTAATTTCTTCTTCTGTCGGTATTGTGTTGAAGCATTAGAGGTTGCAGCCATCAACGTGAAGCTATTCTCCTATAACTCTATTAGGTCAGCAACCCAGCATTTTCATCCATCAAACAAGATAGGAGGAGGTGGTTTTGGAGTTGTCTACAAGGTAAAGAACTAACTTTTGTACTAACAATCTTGAAAGAAAGGAAAATTTTATATGAGCTGATGTCTAGCCGACAAAGGCGAAATTCCCTAGCCCCAGACCACCACAGACCCGACAGGATAGTGGATGAGTAAATCACGCGTTTCATTAGGTGGGAGGACCAGTACCTGGTGCCCACCACATTGAGTGCTTGTGTTCTTGCTAGTCTTCAACCTTCTTGTTGTGTTTTTTGTTTTCCTTGAATGTTTTTTATTCTGTTTTGATAGTTAGTAAACTATGGCATTGTATGTCTGCAGGGGATTTTAAGGAATGGAACTCCTGTTGCTATCAAATGCCTGTCTGCCGAGTCGAAGCAAGGGACCAATGAATTCTTGACTGAAATTAATATGATTTCTAATATCCAACATCCCAATCTTGTTCAGCTGGTTGGGTGTTGCGTCGAGGGCAGTGATAGAATGTTGATCTATGAATATATGGAGAACAATAGCATTGCCAGTGCTTTGCTTAGTACGTTCTGAAAACTCGAGTTCTTTAATCATTATATGTTTGCAAGTAGTAGTCTAATCTGTGGAAGATCTGCAATATGTTCATATCATTTATAATTTAGACAGGCAATTTTGTGATGCAAAGAATTCGGCTTCCTTTTGGATCTTTGTCTTGTTCTTATTTGTTCGATGAAGAGAATGATGCTTAGCTAATGGTCTGACAATCTTTATATGTAAATTGTCATTTTAGGTTCTAAAGGAAAACGCATTGTTTTGGATTGGTCGAAGAGGGCTGCTATATGTTTGGGAACAGCGTCTGGTCTAGCGTTTCTTCACGAAGAAGCTGAACCCAACATTGTCCATAGAGATATAAAGGCTAGTAATGTTCTTCTTGACGGTAATCTTCATCCAAAAATTGGAGATTTTGGTCTGGCAAAACTTTTCCCCGACAATGTCACCCATGTCAGCACTCGAGTGGCAGGAACAGTGTGAGTGTTCATTGCATATGGAATTCGTTTTTCATTACTTCAATACCTTAAACAAATATTCGTTATATTATAGTATGTTTAAAAGGAACTTCTTGGCCAGGTTTCGTGATTTCTTCTTAGTTGTTGTTTCTCATTTCACTCGGTTATTTGGTATTGTGTGCAATGCAGAGGATATCTTGCTCCCGAGTATGCCATGCAAGGAAAACTTACAAAGAAGGCCGATGTGTATAGTTTTGGAGTGCTTTTACTAGAAATCATTAGCGGGAGAAGTAGTAGCAAGGCGGCTTTTGGCGTGGATTTACTGATTCTGGTGGAATGGGTATGTTTCCAACTGCAAAGATTTTATCTTTTTGGTTCTTTAGATGCAATTTCTGAAAGATAAGCCTTTTCACAGACATGGAAGCTCAATGAAGAAGGCAGGGTTCTGGAAATTGTTGACCCAGAATTGACAGATTATCCAGAGGCCGAAGTAATGCGCTTCATTAAAGTTGCACTCTTTTGCACCCAAGCAGCTTACCAGCAAAGGCCAAGCATGAAACAAGTGGTTGAGATGCTCTCTAAAGAGGTTCGTCTCAACGAGAAAATATTGACAAAACCGGGAGTGTATAGACTGCATAACTCTCGAAAGGCAGGTTTTGGGAGTCTGCAGACTTCGTCTTCCCATCTGAAGAAGGGCAATCAGTCTGTCAATCCTTTCGCAACATCAGCCCAGTTCGATAGTTTTCAGAGCGCAACACAAATGCTTCCAAGATAATGCTTCTTTTGTCTCTTCCTCTTCTTGGTGCTTTCTATTCTTTCTCCATGTAAATTTCCCTTTTACTAACCCAGAATGTAAAAAATAGTGGGAATCTCTTGTATTAGGAGACCCGTTATCAATCTTAAACGAAAATAGTCATACTTGTAGTAGTTGGGAAGAAAAGAAGTTCCCCTTCTCTTGTAGAATTGCCATGTTTCACTGTATCAATGGCAACTGTATACTTGCTAACCCAGAATTCGAATAATATGCTTACGAATTACGATTGTGTAGACTCCACATTTTCCACTTTGTTTATATTCGATTTTACAGAAAACCAATGCTACATATATAGAAACATATGCATATACAATTTACATCTGCCAGGGTATAGGATGGCTACATTTTCTTGATATACACTGGCAAAATGTCAAGAAAGCAGAAGATTTTACAGACAAGAAGATGGTCTTTTCACTCTTTTTTGCACATATTGCTTCATCATATACAAAGTTTACCATCCTGCAGACTTAGCGGGAGGAGGTGCTGCACCAGTCCTTTTCCCGTTTCCAGTTTCGGGTTTGAACTGTAAAGACTTCATATGTGAAGGCGGGTTTTGTTTGAGCTTCACGAGTACATGGCGCATCCTAGAAAGCTCGGTTGGCTTCCCGGGCTTTGGCCCTTGGACTACAACAATGGAGGGCTGTTTCTTGTCCCGCCCCTTCTTCCCTTTCTTCTCTATAGCCGGAACTTCACCAGGTATGAGCTCTGCAATTGCCTTCCAATAATTCTTACTAGCTTCATCATGGAACTTCGCTCTGCTGTTGAGGAACAACTGTAGAACCAAACAGATACTACATTATACAAAACAAACAATGGTCTTGTTTAATAAAGCTCATGATCAAACGATAATCTAACTAAACAAGTTTGGTTTTTTACCAAACAGGCAGAGAATTATAGTTGCAGGTCCCTCACCTTCTCCTTGTCCCTGTTGGCAGCTCTGTTGTTCTCACACCTAAGTATCCATTTCCTATTATACTCTGCTTTGTACTCCTCAGCTTCTTCCTTTATTTTCTTCACCATTTCCTTCTCCATCTTCTCCTTCTCCTCGAGCCGAATGGCATTCTGTCTGCATAGTTTACCAACTGTACATCAAACTAAGATGACAAAAGAACACGTAACTTCATCTTCAACCTCAAAATTACCCACTTTTCATCAAACTAACAAGACAAAAGAAGGGGCATATTGGCCTCATAGAAAGGGCACCCAGACAAATTAGTCAGAATGTTAACTTAGTAACAACAAGGTAATAAATTTGATTCTCGATCAAAGCAGCATATTAGCCGTCTTAGTTTGAGCAGTGCTGGTCATAGACAACCTAGACTGGTTTACTTCATTTTCGGCTAAGGTTGCAAGGCTTAGTAACCATAAGGTTACAAGTTCAATTTTCAGCCGGAGCCATTTATTGACCTTATTGGTTTGAATCGTGTTAGTTATAGATAACCTGGTTTACTTCATTTGTAAGCTAGATCCTAAGGTGAAGTTTACCCAATAATGAATGTAGGTTTTCCTCGTCGTCCAAAAAAACAAGACAATAGAATCATTAAACTATGTTAGTGTATAGATTGGTTGTATTATTATTGTATTAAAAGAAAAGAAAACTATATGAATATAATCAAATACATGGTTTGCATGCATAGTGGGAGTGAAAATTGTATCTCACCGACGCCATTCCACCAAGGCAGATCCCTGCATAGCTTCCGGGGAAGGCAGAATCGGGCCGTTAAGGTTCCTCTCCGGCCAGAACGCATCGGAATCCGACGCCGGAGGCTGAGTTTCGGCAGTCAGCTTCACCCGCGGCTCGCTATTAGCGTAGGCAGAGAAGGGATCGAAGTGGCGGTCACACAACGGGTGATCCTCCGGTCGGAAATGGTGGCTTAGCCAGGCGGTGATCGGCGATGAAGTTCGCCACATGGTGCTCGGCGGCTCCTCGGACAACGGTCCGCGGTTTTAGTGCAGGAATCTCTGTTCGCTTTGTACTAGGAGAGCAAAGATACCAAATTTAGTCTTCTAAGCATAATATAGTGGTTTTTCCAAAAAAAAAAAAAAAAAAAGCATAATATAGTGGTAATAATAAGGTGGAAAGTGGAAACGCCTCTGTAACGTGTAACATGTTATTACGTGTCATGTTTTGGGGGGTAAATCTTCAAAAATCAAACGTTAATTGCATTTAAGTATTATAATGCTATTGGGAAGACAAAGAATAATAAATAGTTTGACACTGAAATTATAGCTAATGCCTGTTCAAGATATTCGTGATCTAATAAATAATAATAATAATTTAACACTAGGGGTGGATGCATGAAGTTGGAGTGAATAGATCGACTTCCTTATCAATTTTGCTTTTCAAGTTAAGAAAACTTACCAAAAAATTTGTCTATGAACTACTAAGTCGAGGCGGGTTATTGTAAGCAAACACTAAATCTTTTTGGTGTTCCTCTCTCGGATTCTAAAAAAATAAAATTGACAACTTGTGACTATCGGGATTTTATGGCTGCCATTAATAATTCCATAAACTCAACTCAATTGGGAAGAATGAAACTCAACTCAACTTTAGGGTACAATTTAACTGGCTAATTAATTTAAAATAAGTTGTAAAGTTTTACATGATTAGCCATGGCAAGAGTGCAAGGTTTGAATTTCTACCTAGAATAAAAAGGAATCTATGAAACAATCATGTGAGATTGTAAGGCGCTTGATACATGGTTAAAGTTGTGCTTCAATGGTGAGGCGAAGATACTTTTTAGAGAATTTTGATTATATGTTATAATGTTGGCACTCAAAAACAAATGTTATAATGTTGGGGTTATGAGAAATGGGTTAAACCCAACATCTCAACAACAAAGTGGATCAGTGTCCATTTCTCATCAGCTCAATGAAGGGCCCAACTTGGAATCAAAATGGGTCAAAACAAGATTATTGCACTAGGCACGTGGCAAGCCTTCAAAGCAAATTATGCTGTGAAAACGCGTTCATAATGCGTATGGTGAACACATGAATAAATTCATAATTTTTATGCTGTAGAAATTATGAATTTACAGTACGGTATATAAATTATGAATATACAGTATAGATATTATGAATCTATAATATAGAAATTATGGATGTACAGCTTTAGAAATGATGGATCTACAGTACGATACAGAAATTATGAATCTACAGTATACATGTTATGAATCTACAGTATAGAAGTTATGGATCTACAGTACGGTATAGAAATTATGAATCTACAGTATAGAAGTTATGGATTTACAGTACGGTATAGAAATTATGAATCTACAGTATAGATGTTATGAATCTACAGTATAGAAATTATGGATCTACAGCTTAGAAATTATGGATCTATAGTACGGTATAAAAATTATGAATCTACAGTATAGATGTTATGAATCTACATTATAAAAATTATGGATCTACAGCTTAGAAATTATGAATTTATCACGTGTTCACCATGCGCATGGTGAATACGGTTCCACAGCATAACTATTGAGCATTCAAGGCACCACCTTAGTGGGAATTTTGGTATAGAAATTAGAAAGTGTGTCATATTCATTTCAGGATGTACCATTCAGCTTAGAACACTATTGTAAAAATCGGTCTAGGCGCTAAGCTCATAAATCGAGGTAAATTATCTCCTACATAGTCATTTAAGTGACACACCGTCTAGCCGCCCAACTTGACCGATTCAGTTGAGTTGGCGGCAAACTCGGCTGAATTCGGTTGAGTTAACCCGTCCAATTTCGTTGAGTTTGCCGAGTTAATTTGATCGAGTTAGTCTTGCTAATTTTTTTAATTTTATGTATGTATGTATGCATATATAAAATATGACATACACCCACACGCTTGCACTATTTTTTATTTTTTATTTATTGTTAGCCGCCTAGCTAGTATAGGGGCATCTAGGCCGCCTAGGTGCTAGGCTACTCTACCATTCGACTAGCACCTACTCCAACCACGTATTAGACTATATATGTTATTTTGAAAATACTATATGGACTCTCACTTCTTATTTCTAACTTGTACTCTTAACTTTTCACAAATCTTTGATGCATACACTTTTATTGGGCCTCACATGATTATCATATATTTAATTGTCACATTATAAAATAAAAGTGAGTGGGTAAAATTTAGGAGTACATGTAGTAAAATTCACATTATTTACTCTCATAAGATGTTATACGAGGATTTGAACCATTGAACAGGGAAAAATGTCTTGTGTAGTTGTGTACGACTTAGCTATAAGCTAATGTAAGCTAGGTATGGTTGAATAACAGTTTTTCTTTAGATGAAAAAGAAAACTCGTAATCACTGTATATTTTAGGGTGTGAATTGGATTAATCCAGTTTTGTGATCTTAGTTTGTAAAGAATTACAGGGAGGTAAATTAGTTTAGGTTGTTTATCATTACTTATTGATTTAAATTAAGAAGACTAGTAATCTGCTTTATCGAGCAATCAAACTTGAAATATTTTCGAATAGCATATTTTGATGTAATAGATTATTGAATAATCATTTCATAAGTTCTTTAGCATAAAATTAAGAGTCTTGTGGATGAGAACTGATTGTATTATATTTTCTGAACTTAATTACAATGAGATCAGATGATGTGAATATATAGAATAGAGAGTCACAGTGTGACAATGATAAGAAGTAGAGAGTCACAGTGTGACAAGGATAAGAAGTTCTAAACAGACTCATATACATAGAGTCCTAATACTCCCCCTCAAGCACAGTGTATACTAGTAACCTGTAGCTTGTCCCTTAAGGAAGAAAATCTAGGTCCAGGCAGAGCTTTGGTGAAGATATCAGGAAGTTGATCCTTTGTGGAGATGAAGTTGACTTGGATATCGCCCGAAGCTACTCGATCACGAACAAAATGATAATCAATCTCCACATGCTTGGTGCGCGCATGAAAGATTGGATTGGCACTCATATATGTAGCTCCTAGATTATCACACCATAATTTTGGAATGGAAATACCCGGAATCTGTATCTCACGCAATAATGACATAATCCATAGAACCTCAGCACAAACATCTGCAAGAGCTTTGTATTCAGCCTCAGTGGATGACCTGGCAACAGTTCTCTGTTTCTTGCAAACCCATGATATAAGATTACTCCCCAAGAAAACAGCAAAACCACTCGTGGATTTTCGATCGTCAGGATAACCAGCCCAATCAGAATCAGAGAAAGCATGAATGTCTCTAGATGAGCACCGTCGTATGCGTAAACCATGATCAACTGTTCCCTTAACATACCTGAGTACCCGTTTGAGCTGCTCCCACTGTGATATGGTGGGGGCATGCATATGCTGGCATAACTGATTAAGTGCAAAGGATAGGTCAGGTCGTGTGACAGTGAGATATTGCAGTGCTCCAACTAGACTCCTGTACTGTGTGGGATCATCATATACATCTGAATTGAAGGGGACAGTTTTCGAGACAGAGATAGGTGTAGAAAGGGGTTTGCATTCAGACATTCCAGCCCGTTTTAAAATATCATTCATATACCGTTGTTGAGATAAAATAATCCCATTGTCACTCTTAACTGTTTCAATACCCAGAAAAAAATTTGGTTCACCAAGATCTCTGATTTTGAATGTAGCAGACAGTTTGGACAAGAGCTGAGACATAATACCTTGATCACTTCCCATTACAAGAATGTCATCCACGTACACCAATAGATAAACCAAAGCAGAGTCTTTAGAGTAATAGAACAGAGAGACATCTGTCTTGGATGCTTGAAAGCCAACCGATAGTAAGAACGTATGTAGTCGATTAAACCAAGCTCTGGGAGCTTGTTTTAATCCATACAGAGATCTTTTTAACAAACAAACATGATTCGGGAAGTTAGCATCAATATAACCAGGGGGTTGCTTCATATAAACTGTTTCAGCCAGATTACCATTCAGAAAAACATTATGAATATCTAGCTGTTTGATAGACCACCCAGATGATAAAGCTAGAGATAGAAGGAGTCTTACCGTCGTAGGCTTTACCACTGGACTAAAAGTGTCGAAGAAGTCCTGACCTGGAACCTGATTAAAACCTTTCGCAACCAGCCTGGCTTTATGCCTTTCAATAGCACCATCAGCCTTTCTTTTCGTACGAAACACCCATTTACAGCCAATAATATTCATACCTGCAGTGGGTGGAACTAGAGACCATGTGTGGTTATTCGTTCAACACGACCATTCTGTTCATGTGTATAGGCACAGGATTGTCTATGTTGAATTCCTAATTGAACAAACAAAGAATGCAACTTTTTGTACTCAGCACCTAAATCAGACTGAATGGCCTTTATTTTGCAATTAAAGGACCGTTCAACAAGAGTACGAAATTTATCAAAGATGACATAAAGATCAGACTTTAATTTTATAGGAAAGCACCATGTATAACGGGAATAGTCATCCACAAAGATCACAAAATAACAAAAGCCAGAAGTAGATAAAGTGGGCGCAGGACCCCAAAGGTCTGTGTAAATAAGATCTAGGACTTGAGAACTAGAGGAAGCAACACGGGGGAGGGGAAAACGGGCAGATTTGCCTAATTGACACGCATTGCATAAAGAATTATGACAACGAATATTATCACGAGACCCACTAACCAAACAAGAACGAAGTATATGGCTAAGAACACGGTTATGAGGATGACCTAGACGATTGTGCCAAGTGGAAGCCGAGGCACGAGCGGAAATAAACGCTGACGGAGACGAACTAGGTAATGAAAGTGTGTATAGTCCCCCCGAACTATTGCCCCGAAGAAGTATTTCCTTGGTATTGATATCTTTTACAACAAAAAATGAGGAGTGAAACTCAAAAAAGACTTTATTATCGGATGCAAACTTCTGAACAGATAATAAAGAATTAGACAAACGCGGAACGTGAAGTATATCAGACAATGTAAATGATCTAGAAGGGGTATTAAAAGAGGCATGGCCAACATGACTAATAGATAAACTCATACCGTCACCGACACGTAAAGTGTCATTACCAGTGTACTTCT